AATAGGTTCCAATTAACAAAGCATTTGTTTTTGAACCGGTTCTGCTTATAGGCTTGCATTACGGCTCATTTGGTTATGGCAAGAGAATCTGCAAGCATTTAGTTCATGAGGGTGCAGGCCAAATCAACTATCATCTCAAACAAAATGAACCTTCAATACATGACTCCCACGTAATGGAACTCTTTCATTGTGCCTGCATTTTCAGAGGTCAAGCAAGTGTTCTCCAATATACTGTTGCAGGGGCAACCATGATTTTGTTCAGTTTCCAGTTTGACAGGCTGTTTTTAGCACTTTATTTTGTTTCAGTTCACCCAACTCATGTACGTTTAAAATAAATTGCCACTAAATAACATGCTTAAAGCATTGAAGTGACAGGTTTCAGTCACCCAGAAAAATCTAAAGATGACAATGAGTGGTTAAAAACTAACCCCTAAAGAACATTTTCTGCGAATAAGCAAACAGGTATAACTCACAAAAATTAATTGTTAGGTCTATAACCAATATCTCACTGTATATACATGTATTACAACATGCATGGGTCAGATCAGGGCATCCAGTTCAAATTGCATTCCACAATGCGACCGGAAAAATAATGCTTGCATTGTGTTTACTTAATTTGATAAGGTTTTGAATAACATGACCTGTTAATTCTCAAGAAATTCATGCAAAACAATGTTGAGCAAAATGTCAATGAATTTGTCAAGGCACATGAGAAGGAGCTTAAGTTTAAGGCACTCCATGGATCCTAAAAGGCAAAGGTCAGCCACAAAGGACAGGTTTCTCACTCCCCAAAACCAAAGATGGCAAATTTTTGGTGTGTCTTATTTACTAGCTCCCAGATTGCATTTCACTTTCAGCAAGGGATAAATCATGCACGACATAAGCACGACATCATTTATCCAGAGGAATGCTGCATGCCAGCCACAAGCAATGACGATGATGTCATTGCTTAAAAATGGAACGTCAAAGGTGGCCAGAAAAGCCTTTAATATTGAGGAAGTCTGGAACCCAGTATGTTGCCATGGTAACAAAACTGTTGAGCTCATATTGTGGAGCACATTTAGTAGAATCTTACTACAAAGAATCAAACATTTCTGTTACAAATTGGCTGAGATATCGTTCTTCATCATATTTATTCAAAATTTGGTGAATGAGTGCATGATGTCATCACTAGGCTAATTTCCATATATAAAAAACTTGAATAAATCTGGAATGAAAAGTGATATTTGAAAATAGTAAAGAGCAGTTTTCTTCTCATACAGACTACTTGTTTATGTTTTACAGCAGCTTAGATAGGAAAGATGTGAATTTCGTCATAGTTTTTATGTGATTTGAAAATCGCCAAATTTGGCAGATCTCACATTGCAATTTAAGGAAATATTATTGGCTTAGACAGGGACTAGACATTTTAATTGTGATGTTGTGAAGAAAGCTACCTTTTAAGTGCAAATTTTGAAGGACAGAGTACTATTAAGGTTATTAGAGTATTGGGAAAGGTACCTCACGTGCCATGCTAGTTCCTGATCAAATTCACATGTGCTTCATATGTCAATATTTTTGTCAGTTGGATACAATATGACATCTGTTAAAACTTTTTTTTTGTTAACGTTAACATGTAGGGGTGATTGAGGGAGTATATGGAGGGACTGAACTCCCTCACAGGGTAGGTGAGGCAAGTGGCCCTTATAAAATACTAAGAAATTGCTTCTTTCCCACTCCCCAAGGACTTTTGGATCATGTGTGTACTAAAGGTATCACGGTCCAGTGTCGATTGATACCTTTGAATGATACCCTTGATCAATACCCTTGATCAACCCTTGGTTGATACTTAATCAACACTCCATTGACACCTCAGTTGACACTCAACATCTTGGTTGAGAGTGTCAACCAAGGTTTCGATCCAGCATATAAGTTGGTTGACACTCGGCCAATAATAATTATTGACTGTTGATCAAGTGCCAAATTTTCAAGCTAGGGGGGTTAATGCGAACACGTCAGTGTGAGCCAACTAGGGGGTTCTGGGGGCATGCTCCCTGTGGGAAAATTTGAAATTTAAGTCTTCTGAAATGGCTAGCAATGGATCTAAAACTGTCAATAGTGAAGTGAATTTTTAATTATTATAAAACGCGTAGCAAAGTGGCCCTCGTGCATGTTTGACCAAATTTAAATGAACAGACTAACTTCTAAGAAAAACCGAACAGATGCAATAGAATGTCACCCTGGAGTTTTTAAGTCAGATTCTTTGAAGGTGCCAAAGTTGCTTTTTCAATTGTCATTGAGAGATGCAAACTCATTGGCAACGTCTATATAAAGACAAAGTTTGTCTGTTCTCGGTTTGTGGGTGTTAAGTATCATCAGATTACTTAATGTTGTTTGTGTCATAGTCAAGCGTAGTCACATTTTCAGTCTCCAAGCAGAAGAAAAGGATCTCTCGCTGCTGCACTGGTTGTTGGATTTACAAGAAGAAATTAATTACATATAGTTATGATTTCACCTATCACACACTTTGACATAAAATAATGTAATGTACGATTTTTGTGAGACAGACCTGGTTTACTTAAGTAAAAAGAAATAATTATTTAATCTGTCAAAAAAGTGGGGGGTTAAGGGCCCCCGACGCGGTCCCTGACTATTGTTACTTCTGTATGGATCGGATTGCTGGAGGATGACTGAGAAGGATGAATGCAGACTTATTACCTTCCACACCACGTCTAAGTAGAATCATGTGAGTGTTTTGGCCTAATAAAATAACCAATGTCAGAATACTACAAGCCATAGGGCAGGAAACTATAGGGACCATCTTAAGGAGAAGAGGGTGGGAATGGCTGGGTCATGTGCTAAGAATGGAGCCCATAGTGCATGGAAGAACTGCACTGACATTGGACTCCAGAGGATCAAGGGATAAGGGGGCGTCCACAAACAACATGGAGGAGAATGATACTTGAAGAGATGAAGAGTGCTGGTATTTCCTGGGAGAGTGTGGCAGGATTAGTCCAAGACAGGGTGATCTGGAGGAACCTTATTGAGGCCTCATGTGCCCACAATGGAGTACCAGGATGTGAATGTTAAAGATATTAGCCTTATTACTTCTGTTAAGTGACATAAGCTTAATGACTTTGCACTTTCCATTCAAGACAACTCAATAATATGTTAGGGGTGGCTGTGTAAATACACCTGTGCTGAGTTGGCTTGTCTAACTATGACTCGCTGCACTGTGGGCATTTTTGCCTGGCGAGCATCAGATAAGCTTGTTTGTCTTGGCAGCCGTCTTGCATGAGTCCTACTCCCTAGGATCTCTAATTCCTCTGTTCCTAAGCTGCCTCACCTGTAAATGCACTCACTTGCTGAAATAAGGCTACATTGCAAGTTAGCTGGGAGTCAGATCGTGACAGACTTTGTGAAAATACAGCAAGGTGGTAAAATGGTTGTGGAGAAGAAGGGAGGAATTGGAAGGCTAAAACTCAGCAGTTGCCAGGCCACAAGTGACAACTTAAAACCTACCAAGGTGACTTAAAACTGAGGTCTTAGTGCCTGATATGCATATATGTAACTACAATACAAAATACCGAGTGTGATATATTGTGAAGTATCAAGTTAAATGAAAATAAAATAGCCGGCAGTTTACTTGGACTAACCTTCTATTCTTTTACCCAACTATAACCTCGCCAACTTCAGTAAATGTTTAGTTTGTATGCGGAAAATTCCAAGGGGATCTAAGCCATAAACAACTCTGATCTGATCTGTATTTAGATGCCATTTTGATTGTTCTTTTGCCATGTGACTCCAGACTCACCTAGAGTACTTTACGAATTGTTTTCATCACACTTGCTATTGTTTCTAGGGTGGTTTTGAACATTATTATTAACAACAAAATGTGGATCCAATAACCAAAGATCACAAACATTTCAAACCAATTGGATGATAGGGAGGTCCAAGAAGATGCCATGTTTTGTTCCATTAATTTGTTGAAAAAATTCGTATACACCAGTATGCCTATATATCTGTTCATGTCATAGGGCATGGGGCACACGAGGCTTTGAAAAATTAAAAAAAAAAAAACCCAGTCATGAAGTGGAATACTGACTTGTCAAATACTCAATTTTTCTTAACTCCCAATTCTTCGTAGCAAAAGTTATCATTTTCCTCCACTTAATCTGACAATCATTAAGTCAACCCTGATTTCTTGAACTACCTGATTTTTCAAACCAATTTTTGTTTCCCTTGGAGGTTTGAAAAATTGGGATTCTGCTGTATATTATTGAGTGATCAATTTCTGGGAATTGGGCACAATTCAGCTCTTGTTAATTTGCATATTTAACAAAACTTGAATATCTCCAGAACAAAAAGAGATACTTGAAAATGGTAAACAGTATTTTTCTTTTTGTACAGCACATAGAAGAACATAAACATTCTGTGATTGGAAAACATTTTAGGGCCAAGCATGCCTTAACACCTGACAATCTGATTAAGAACTTTAAGGTCCTCAAGAAATGCTGTGTAAACTCGAACGTTTGATATTTGAATGCTGTTGATTAAAAGCAAAAGACCAAAACTGAACACAAGAGCGGATTCCATTAGCGCAAAACTTTTTACACTGTCTAATGTTTTCATGTGATGTTTGCTAATTTTATTTTCTCACATCCTAAGCACTATAAAAATGCCTTGCCATTATTTTTCATTTTTTCATTTGACAATGATGACACGAAGTCGTTGAAACATCATGTTACTTTGCTTACATTAATTTTCCTGCTTAAATGTTTTTTGAAATCATTTTTTATATGAGATAGGAAAGATGCAAATGTCATCATACTTGTAGCACTTTGAGAGATACGGTCAATTGGTTTGGGCAGGGGGGGGGGCAGAAAGTAAGTATGCAAATAAAATGGTTCGTTTCTTTCCTCACATGCTGCTTATTTTCATTGATATTGATAAGCAAAAAAAATTAACACCATTGTATTTAGTTAAGAGTTAATAAGAATACAATCCCATTTTTTCTGTAGAAACATCTGAATCTGTTCCTGATGGCAATGAGGACCATGTTTCTGAGCAGCAACCTCCTGCTAATAATGTCACTTCAACTGATGGATCACAAGTCACCAGTACTGCAGGTAAGTATTTGTACATGATATTCACACTAACAGCATTGTCTTTGTGAGGTTTAAAACTCGTCCATTTCATCAGATCTCACATTGCTATAGAAATGATCATAAATGAGTTGTTTATATATTTTTGATCATAGTGGATATCCTGATTGGTTGTGGAGCTGAATTGCAAAGGCAGGGAATGACATTAGCACTTGCCTAGGCAATATTTTGCAACATACTGTTATTCAGGTACTGGGCATTTTCAGTGTGGTGATCGGAAGAGAGCCTTTTTTGAAAAGTTTAGCCAGGTCAATCCAGTCAAACCTCGATTATCCTACCTCCACTATCTGGGTTTCTCGATTATCCAGACTTTTTCTCTAGTCCCAATTTTGTCGTGAATATTTATTACTTATGATTCTTTAGATAAAAGATAAACGGTCTATAATTTTGCAATTAGAGAAAGGAGAAAAAGGAACTAATTTGTCAGCTGAATGTGGCATTAGTAAGCAGCAAATCTCTAATATCCGCAAGAACAAGGAAAATATCACGAACTTTGCAGACAACTTAGAGACCAGCAAAGACTGAAGCGAAAATCACTGAAAGTTGCACATGATGAACAGCTCAATAATGCCCTGTATGCCTGGTTTATTCAGCAATGAACATCTGGCACTCCAATCTCTGGTCCCCTTCTTGGAGAAAAAGCGAAACACTTTTACAGCCAGCTACACACAGATCCCCCAGATGGCGACTTTAAAGCTTTAACAGGATGGTTTGCGAAATTAAAAAATCATTATGGAATTAGAAATGTTAGCATCCAAGGGGAAAAACTTTCTACAGCAGAAAAAAAATTTTGAGCCTTTTCTACGTCCACTTGAACAAAGTTTAGAAAGCGTTGTTGGACAGTCTTCTTTTGAAGATGAAAGTAGCGATGATGAGGAAGAATGAAGCCATGATGAGAAAATTGTTTCGAACTCTGAAGCTGCTGAATGTTTTAAAAAGTGTTTATCATGGATGGAAAGACAGAGCAATGTTGGTGCTGTTCAGATTATGCAGCTTCCAAGAATAATGGAACTCTCAATGTGCACACGAAGTTCTACTTTGATACAAACTGACTTACTTCAACATTTTAGGCCACTGTAAAAACATTTTTCAGTAATTTTTATTAATTGCTATAGTACACACATGAACAGGTATTCACAACTACAGTGAAGATGTAGGCCATATTGTTTTCTAAACGATTTGCAAAATTGTTGTTTCACGATTGAATGTTGCCTTCTTAGTTTAAGCAGTGTTGTTCTTCATTAATATTATTTTATGTTTCGATTATCTGGATTGAGACAGTGAGACAGGCATTTTTCTTTGTACAGTAGTTTTATGATGGAGCCTTTTGTCGTAAATGCCTGCATTGAGACATCAGATCTGATCAAAGTGGCTGTGAGCCACTGAACTCGGATAATGATTTATGAAAGGCTGAGAATGGAGCTTTTGTATAATAAATTAAAAAACACGAGTTCATTCATAGCTTATGTCCAGATGTAGTCGTTCAAAATTACATCGAGCTACTCCAGCTCCACTGAGTTTGTGATGAATGACGCCATTCTCAAACATCTAAACAGATCCACAAATGCACAAATGAGAAACATTTCCAGAAAAACAATAATTCACCTCCACTTGAACTCAGCAACAACTTATTTGAAGGATAAGCTGGAACCATTGACTTATATGACTTTTACTTGAGCCAGCTGTTCTAACAACCCAGCATTTCTGTAGAAACTTTCTAGAAACCAATATAATGAATTTGTTTCATCAATTTGCTTTCAATGTTGATGTGGCACAGTGGAGTGCATGAACGCCTGAGACGCGAGAGGCTATAAGTTCAAATCCTGCAGGGCACGTTTTTTTTTTCTACATTTTTTTCTTATTAACAGATGTGTTTATATATATAAAAGCATTTACTGAAACACAGCTGTTTGCCTTTCCGATGCTTAAAAAAAACATTTACTGAAACACAGCATTTGCCTTTTGATGAAAAATCATCTGCAACTTTTAATCATTCAAGAATTTGTCCCGCGCATCAATCAATTTCGAACTCAAAATATGCTAACCTTATTTCAGCCCTAAGTTATCACTAGTGTCAGACAGGATTGTGAAGGAAAAAGGATGAAGACTTTCCCTTAGAATCGAATCAAGTAGAATGAACCTTGGGGTCTTTCCCATACAGTCACCTTACAATAATTTTTATTGTATGTAAGTTTTAAAAACGTGACTTGTGTCCTGGTGTTACTTTCAGGTCAATCATACAGGGTGCTGAACGGTATTGAACTGGTTTAACTGTGACAACATCAGGCTAAAAAAACATACGCTGTCGACTGTGCCAAAACGATCACAAATAAGACACATTGCCACAGAAACAAATCACTTGGTGAATAAATATTTTCTGACTTTGGCACAAGTGACTGCCAACACTGTACTGGTCAGAAGATTTAGAAAAAGTTAGCAGGAGTTGAAGGACGAAAAGTTATGGGCCAACCCATTCATCTGTATCACTTTCCTTGTAGGCGCCTCCGTCATTCCAAATAGCGCTTTGATTTCAACGACTTTATCTTCTTTGTATCTCTTGACGACATATTTCCCCTTGGTTATCCCACTAATGGCCTTTGCCAGGTATGCATCACAAAATCCTCCACTGGCAAAGCTTTTCCGTTCCAGTGAAAAGGTTGCTTGGAAAGGTTTGAGCCATCTCATTTCTGTCAAAGTTCGTTAAAATTCTTCCAGCAAAAAGGTTACAATGTCCACCTCCGGTACAATTACCTTGCCTAGTTTTAACATCTTACTAAGCGGAAGAGATGCTGCAATTGAAGATTTGGCAATTTTAGACCTATTTTCTATTGCCATTGAGCTACATTTACATGTATCCTTGGCCGGCTCACTCTGTTGCTGAAGCAGCTCGCTTGACTTCTCGCTAAATCTGATGTGTATAACTTGCCAGTTTTGAACCTGGCTAGCATCAGTGTAAGAAGGCCCTCATTCACCAGCCAGAACATCGCATTCCAGATTTGTTTTAAAATTTGCTTTGCATGTGGCTTTAATGTTTGGTAAAATGACCTCTTCTTCCAAAGGAACCAGGGTTAAAGCACCGATTCTAGAGTACTTCTGACACTTTCCTTCAACATTCGCAGACAGTCTTTGCACGGTAATGCTCCCGCACAGCCCACTCGGACCAGCTTTTTCCTTTTTCTTTCGTGTTCTTTTCTTGGATATTTTCTCCTTGTAGTCCTCCCATTCATGTTTCTGCTTTGACATCGTCAATCAAACTGTTAGTTCAATTAGAATAATGATGAAGCAAATCGTCGAGAAGTGTTGACAAATGCAAACATGTGCACGTGTGAGGAATACCGTGATATTACGTAATCCTGGAAGTGTATTGTGGTCTATGGTGTTGCTGGGCCACGGAGGTTATTTTTTTAAAATTTTTAGGTTTTCAAATCTTTTGTATTCTTATGTATTTTATATTTTATCTGTTTTTTAATAGAAAAAATCAAAATAACAATTAATATTATGAAAAAAAATTAAACTTAAAACGCATACTTTAAAGAATTACACCATTCTGAAGCAATTTTTTCTATGGCGTTGATGGGCCACCATACTTGTATCTTGCTTTCTGTTGTTGTTAGCAGTGTTGTCAGTTCGTTTGTGTATTCACACTCTTATTTGTCCCCTTTAGAACCCCCCCATGTCCTCAGAATTCCAATTGTAAGTACCCTCATACCTTTGGATTTTCATTTCAAAGANATTCAAAAAGCTGCCTGTGGTATAGGTATGGATATTTTCTGGAATCATTTGGAAATATATTTATTAGCTGATTTTGTCTGTCGTCTTGCACTTAGAAAGCGACTTTGATATATATATAGGCAAAACATAATCAATAAAAGTTCAGCCCTGTCCCCAGGGCTTGCTTATCTTTAGTCGGCAAAAGAAGCAGGTCTGTGTTTTATGGCATGTGCAGACAGAGAATGCTTATCATTGATTCTCTGACAGCCAATTGGCTGTGAGCTGAAATGACTGGACAGCACAGGCCTTCCAATTAGGCTTGTCCAGAGTCTAATATGTTTCTCAGGTGCTGACCAAATGAAAAATGGTATCTCCATAATAATAATAATAATAATAATAATAATAATAATAATAATAATAATAATAATAATAATAATAATAATAATAAATAAATATTTATATAGCGCCTATCCATGCCTACTCTAGGCGCTGTACAATTTGCCAAAAAGAGATGTACTAATCTTAATTAAAAATGTGCATTTAAGAAAGTAACAAAAATGGCGATGCAACAACAACAACAAAGCTTTATTTTCCTCTAAACACTTAAAACACATTTGCATAGAAAATGACAAAAACTACAATAACTTAGGAAATAGATATGTTTAAAGTTGAGCTAGGGGGATAAATGAACCTTGCAGTTTTCGAGTTATTCCCCTGTCTTTTACGTGCAAAACCAAATAAGATCAAGGGATTGAAAGAGACAAGTAAATAAGGTACTAACACAGGGAGACAGACCAAACTATATGAACAGTGGATATCCAAAGGAGTTGAATGTTCAAAATGTTAGTTACTTCATGGTATTTTCGAGTTGTTCAGAGAAGAGATAGAGCTTAATTTGTTTAGAAAATTGGTACACATTAAGATTTTTCAAATAAGAAGGAATATTATGCGAAAAGATGGAAGCCATATAGGATATAGTTTGTTTCCCGGTGTTTGTTCTGACTCGTGATTTGTAGAGATTTTGGTTAGCGGCGTATCTAGTATTATAGGTATGAATGCTACTAGCATACTGGAAAAAATCATTAAAAACGTTTGGAAGAAGGTTCTTATGCCACAAGTTAGTAAATCTTAATACATGTAAACAGTAAACATTGTTCACTGTGAGAATTTCTAAAAGGTTTAGTAATGGGACAGTGCTATTGGTTTGTTCACCCAAAGCTCTTGCAAAAATAGTAATTTAATGGCATGGCTTTGCTTGGTCTGCACTTTTTGTATATAGGTTTTGTAAGTGCTCCCTCAAGCTAAGATGGCATATGATATACAAGGACATATAAGGCTACAGTAAATTTGTTTTAATTGAGAAAGTGAGATTGATAAAAGTTTTAAACTAACTATGGACTTTGAATTCCGTTTGAAATCAACAGCTTTGAAAGTAAGGATTGATGTTGATACCATGAAACCTGCAGAACAATGCAACACACAGGATAGAACTGTTTCAACAATAGAATCAAAAGGATCTCGAGATGGTGAGCACCAGGAGGCATCTGCAGGACCTGTGCCATCAGGACACACACAGCCTTTGTGTACAGGTGCTGAAGCTCACCAAGCACCCATGAGTCCTACAGATCCAGAAAAAGTCTTGTGTTTAATTGCTACCAACTATCTGCAGGCTAAACCATTTAGATGTGAAAGTGACTGTGATGACTTTTTGGCATACATGAGAGAAATGCGACTCATTATTACAGGTGTTTATATTGGAAGTTTGCTGATAACAGTGAAGTGCAATTCACTGGAGATCCTGGAGAGACTGTGGGAAGATTATTTGTCAGGTCATTTTGGTGAAGTGGCTCAAAGATGTTTAGTTACAGAAGAGATCTTGACAGAATTGAGCCTTGCAGAGTTAAAGCTTAAAACAACAATCTCAGAAGAGGAGTACAAAGCATACAAAAAGTACCTTGGGAAAGATCCAGCAGGAGGTTAGTTTTAAGACAAGCCCTAGGGTTTCATGGTAATGACTGTTTCCGGTAACATGCCATTGACAAATAGCAGAATTGAAAACCGTTTTCCCATGGACATCCTTACCATTCAAAATTCATTTGGTATGTGGTCAGTGTAAAACACAGACTGCGGACTGCGGCTGGCAGACCGCCGGTAAAATGCAGACTACAGACATTTTGCGTATATATTGTGTTGTTTCTATTATTGAGTGCAGACTGTAAACAGGGTTATTTAGGCTAATTGCAGTGAAAGTCTGCACTCCAGTTAGCCTGAATATTACTCTGGTTAGACTGAATATCACTCAGGTTAGCCTAAATGACACTCTGGTTAGCCTGTTTATGGTTAGCCCTCATTGATGGAAACGGTAACAGCCGATTCAGTTAAAAAGTCTACAGTCTTCGGTCTGCGTTTTACCCCTGGTCATCAGTCTGTATTTTACCCCTGGTCTGCAGTCTGCAATCTGCATTTTACACTGACCAATTTGGTATTAGTTTATTCTGCTTTGATTCTCAGCAAATAGTAAGTTGAGCAATTCCTTTGATCAGAACTGTGGTTACTAGTATTATGAGACTACTGTAAGGGCACTTTCGATACAACTAGAAATTCTGAAAATTTCAAAAACGGGATAAAATTAATGGTACAGAAAGTGTTTTCACCATGCATCAGGAGCGCATTTTCGGTTTTGTCCGTGTACCAATCAGTAAAATTACTGAAGAGCAGCCTTCGTGATTTAAGAAATGAAACATGAAACACATTAAGAATTAATGTAGACTTTCGTGGAAGTTTTGACCTGAGTTTGATCTTATTTTTCTTTAATTTGGTGAATGATGGAAATGCATTTTGTCAGTTTGCACATCAGTTTTCATGGGATACACTGATTCATTTACGTCACTTGCAGCCACAAATGGACAAAAGGATACATAATACCGTCTTAAGTATTCAAAAAAGTGCGTGGCATAAAAATTGAATGGTGACTTGTACAATTTGACATACCTCGACGACCCAAAAACTGGATAGTTATTTTGATGGGATGAGTATTTAAACATTTGTTAGTTATGTGTGATTTCGAAGTAATTCTGGCTGTACAAAGTAATTTGAAATTTACTGAGCGTTCTTACAAAGAATTCAAATTCTGAAAAATTATAATTATTGGAAGCAGGAAAATTACAATAATTGTATTCTTTTCCGACTTTGAAACTGTGTCCTTTTTCAATTTATCCAGATGTAGGATCAGTATGGAACGTTGGTAGGTTTTAAAAGTTAGTGGCTTCTCCTGGTTAAAATGTCTTTTTTACCAACAGAAACAGATGAAACATATGATGGTGATGATTCAGCATCAGATGATGAAGGTACATGACATATTTCATCGTGTAAATTATACACATTGACTTACAAGCTGAAAAAAATGTTTTAACAAGTTCTGAAATATAATCAGCTTCTCACAAATAGGATTCCTTTGCCATGTTTTGCTTTGCAAATACACAGACATACAGTAACAGACAGAAGCTATCTAACAGGAAATGCATTACTTGAACACAGATGGAATGCTAAGGGAACACCAAATAACGCTACTTAATATGAGAATAGCTTAACTTCTGGTGAACTGCAAAAGAGTGACGCGTCATGGCCAATGTAAACAGAATGCTTTCTTAACCCATGACCCCTTCTAAAGTGTTCCTTGTGCTCTTGAGGAAATAGGGGAAAATAGGCACACTATGTATGCTTGTACCTATTGTTAGCTGCCGCTGGAATTCCTTTTAAGTCAATTTAACAAATTGACATCAGTTTTTTATGCATCTGTCCTCTTATTGATGATAAATTGCGTCATAACATTGTCAAAGTGGCTGTGGAACCACGAGCTGCAGGTGAGTGGTTCCGCAGTAACCTTTGACAATGTTATGATGAAATTTATCATCAATAAGAGGACAGATGCATAAAAAACTGACGTCAATTTGTTTTTTTACAATAACAAGACCCCAAAGTAGTCAAATGCTGGGGATAAGCGAGGGGAAAAGAAGCCGTAAACTTGCCGTAAACAAAGATAAATGAATTTTATTCAAAATGACCCGAATATTGTCGATAGCTTTTCTCGCTTTTTGATTGGCTACTTAAAAAATTCCATAAAATCTCTTTAGTTAAAAAGTTGACAGTTTGACTGCTGAAAGTTGAACTTGAAAGCTTGCGTAAATTGAAATTGTATCTGTCTGTACTCTTATTGATGATAAAAGTGAGCCAATCAGCACGCGAGAAATTAGACAGTTATTGTAAAAGCTACCTTGACATAGGGCTTGCTTTATGCTCTGATAGTACATTAAGTGTTTTATATGATAATATCTACATTATATATATATTGTTTACATAGATTCAAAAATACTTGCTTTAGGTGTTAATACCTTCCAAATACACAACTACCCTCTCTTGATATGATGCCCACCTAAAATAAGCCAAAGAAGTTAGACCTTGGAGTAAAACTTATCCAACTGTTACTGTTTGGAATTAGAGGGCAGTGTAAATGTGTGCAGCCATGAAATTTCCTCTATTTTAAGTATTCTGTTAAGCAACATCACGTGTGTCTTAATTGTCTTTAGTTAAGATTACACAATACCTTGAGAGTGCTACTTTGTCAAATTTTTCTCTTTAAGCAAAACAAAAAGTTCGCTATAAAATCTAACATTTACCAAAAAGTGAAAGAAAATTTTTAAAACACACACTAGTTATTTAACAACAATAACTTCACTTTATTTTGCACATATAGTTGGAATTACATTATTAGCATTTAGGAAAGAAAAGAATTTTTAATAACAGTTAATAAAACAGTTATGTGCCATAATCCCCATAGCGCGTCGACTTTTTGCGTGAAACGGCTTCCCCCAGTAGCTCTTATTACGAGGGCCTCATTAGCATTTTTTGTTTTCATGCTACATTTCGCAGTTATGTTCTCAAAGTAATAGGCCCTTTGCACAATCCGGTCTCATGGCCATGGTACGGAATTAATTATGCTGGGATGCAAGTTACACAGTGGCACTTTCAAAGCAAAGGAAAGTCAGGCTGGACTGGTACGAGTTCCTTTGTTTTGGAAGTCCCACAGTGTAACTTGCGTCCCAGCTAATTAATTCTGTACCATATGACTGGATCGTGCAAAGGGCCTATTTGCCCTTCTATGCTACCTATCACTCTTTATTGAGGTCATGAAACGTGCTAAAAAAAAAGGAAGAAAAAAGTCCCTGGACAGCGAAAAAAAGAAGCCTGTAACTAAGAAAAAGACAAAAGCGGACTTTCTTGAAGACAGGAAGAAAACTTTGATTGACACTGGCAAGGGTTGGTGCATACTCGTACCCATATTCTTGCCAGGCTTATTTCTCTTGGTTTTCCCCCATTTCTCATGAGCGGCGAAGACTGCTCTATAAATGCACGCTGAAGTTCAACAAGGAGAACAAAATTTGCGGGAAAATCATTTCGCTCACTGTGAATGCTAGGGGTGCTCTGATTTCATTGGCTGGCAGCATATTCTGTTGACATGCATTGGAGTAAAGGCGTAACATGTTTAACCCTTTGACTGCCAACGGCGACTATAGATGCCCCGAGTGGTCGTGTTCTTTGTACCAATTATGACATCATCAATTTAAATGTCACCAGATATTCTTGATAAGCAGCTAGTAGAGCTAGGATAGATCTATCCGCATGACAGACTGTATTGGATGTCGACGGCATTCTGACATGGCAAATTGAAAAACGTTATCAGTTTTGATGCAAAAATGGTGGTAAAATGGCCCAGTATACCTACAATTGAACAAGGTTCCATTTCCAGGCTTTCTCTACAATTAACACCAAACTATTTATGGCAGCCAGAAAGAATATGAAACGCAAAAGGTAGCAACAGTGGGCCGAGAAAAAGGAAAACAAAGGGGCAAGAAAAAAAAATTGGAACTGACAATGGCCAAAAAAAGTCCAAATTTTGGCTTATGCGCTTGCGCCAGATTAAAATATTGTACATTTTGGTACTTAAGAGCCAACTCCTGTAAATACCGAGAATGAGACGACAATCACGAAAATTTCGGATTTCTTCATATTTTGCCCAAATAATCTCTATAGTGAGTTGTTTTCGAAAATACCATCCAAAGGTCCTGAAGCACTTTAGTTTTTTCAAAATCGAGGAAAGTTCAAAAATCACCATTTTAGCTGCCTGCCGCTGCGGAAAATGGGCAAAAATTGTGCATTTTCTTTTCGCTTGTACAGATTAACGCAATGATATCTATCAATATACTCTGGGAAGCTCATAGTGCATGTCTTGCTGTTTCTAAAGCATTAATTTGATTAGCAAAAGCTCCAAGTGTTATAATATTTTAGGCCGATACAAGTACCTTCATCG